ATGGACTCAGTACTAAAGAAATTGTTAACTAACCAACTGAAATACAATTCAAAATTTCAGAAGAATGTGCTGCCTCCATCTTCAGGGTAGATTAGTAATAAGCTAACTATTCTGATCTAGGAAAACAGCAGTTAAAGGGCCAATATTTATTAAGACTGTCCTCCCTGTTCTTGCTGGTGTGCCCAGAATCCTGACTTTGAACCTTCTCCTTGCATCTGTACCAAATATTTTCCACAGTTGGTTTATTCTTCTACCCTGAGGGTGGAAACAGCAGGTTGCTCCAAGGCAAGTGGTGATCTACCATACTACACAGCATGACATCCTGGAAGGCAGTAATCTTGTTACTAAAATAATTTCCACCTCAGAAAGCTTCTTGTTTTTTGTTTTTCACAGTGCAGCCACCATGATCTTAAATGTTTTATCTTGTACATATGAAGTTGTTGCAGTGTGTAAACTCTTTCCCAATATTTCACATTTTGCTTCTATTCTGACAGTTAATTTTAAAATTTGTTATATTTAGAAACATCTTGTACACTGAAAGCCATCTAGAAACAATATGATGAACTAATAAATAGGCATTACTTTTCTTTTGCTTACAGTTATATCAACAACAGAAGTTCCCATAAAAAGTTATTCCATTTAACCAATAACACTTTCTAAATTGTGCAGTTGATCAATGTAACTATGATTTAAGTGTGTTTAACAATGAACACTATGTTCCATTTTGTACAGTTCAGCAATACATCAATACAGTAAATGCAACCACTGAGAATTTTATAATCTATGATCAGTAATGTTGTTGTGACATTCAGTGGGACAAATTAGATTTGTGGAAGAATTCAGCACGTATCCATTCATACATAAATTCAAACACAATTCACAAACTCATTCATCATACTGGAAGTTTTTAACTCAGAATTGTTGATGATGTACAGGAAATAGTACCTTATTTTAGCCTGCTGCTGCTGAGTTATATTTAGAGGCATTTTAATCATCTTTGTACTTCTCAGTTAGTACTGATGAATTCACGTATACAATATTTAAGGGTCTCAAAGAACAAATACTAACCCTTCATGTGCCATAAGTCGATTTCATTGGACAAGTGCACAAAAATTTCCGAGAGCCAAAGAGATCAGCTCTCTGTTAATCACTTCGTACAGCATTTTTCTCAAGTATGATGTAACAATGTTTAGAGTAAAGGACAGGCTTTCATATCATCTATACCTGTTATTGTTTGAAGGTAATCTGAGGAAGTACTGTGGACTTTTCTGTCCAATTGCATTTGCTCCCAAACAACCTTGGAATTTCCAGCATGTAGTTATATGGCAAGGGTTGTCAGTCAAAGGATTAAGTTCATAATCTTCTGAGAGGTGTTGCCAAGCAGCCTTGTAGATAGGTACCAGGGTGTTAGAGAAGCTTTCGCTTCTATCTTCAGTGCACTCTGAATATCTAGTAGCAGGTTCCTTCAAAATGTTGGTACTTATATAACAAACATCAATGGGATCACAGCCCAGAAGACTGTTATCTTGATTCAAATATAATTTGTGTTTCATACAAGAAACATACCGTGTTACATTATGTAACCTTCATAATTATACTATGTCTTTTCAAAATTGTTCCAGATATCTTTCAAATGTTGTGTGTCTGTTCTAAATTCAGCCAGTTTTATCTCATTGCAGCATTATAAATGTAAATTTATATTGTAACCAGTTTGTCTAATTTTCATATATCCCATTATAGAAATTCTCAACATTTAATTTAACTTTATATTACTGTTTGTTTACTACAAATGTCACATTTTGGGATTTTATATACTTGTTTATGGAGTATACTTTCATCAGTCATGTAAAATCAATTTGGGCATTTATTTATACATGTAGTGGTATAACAGAACAATTCGATACATCCATGCTGTACAATCCCATCGTTACTTACCATGCAAAATCTGTTCCAAATCTTCCTTCTGCTCCACACACCCTGAAGGTTACAGCTAGTTTGTATACTGAAACATTTTAGCAACTTCAACCATGACATTGACTAGCACCAAAAACTGAAATTGAACAAGGATCTTATCAGCTCTGTATAAGGTATCTTTTCCCTTAACCATATCAGAATTCTGCAGTAAAGAGTCATTCATCTGGAGAAGGTATGGCGCAACACTTACATACTATGTGATAACGTTTCCTTTTGCTATACATACATCTCGTTTACATATACACAAGAGCACAGTGAATTTGTACACATTTATGTTTTGGTTTTACACAGTGAAATAAAAAGCTTTTAAAATTTAAGTATGCATAGAAACTGATAGAACCATTTGTTTTAAAAATGCATTGAACTATAACAGTACTGTTGTACATGGTGAAAATAATCCAGTTAAAATTATGATACTCATTAATCTTCATCCTTCACAGACTTTGAGTTTTTTGACTACTTCACTCTGTATGAGTATTCTGCACAATACTTTTAGTCTCTTACTAGAAAAATATCCATCGTTGAGCATATTACCACTGACCATACATAATAATTATTTGATTTAATAACAACAGTGTGAAATGGCCAACAGTTTTGTTATGAATAGAATCAGTATATCATTTGCTTATAAGTATTGATGCTCAAAATTTGAATGTTAAAACCAGTTTCCCTTGTGATGAGAATGATACAGAATTCTTGATCATATTAGAAAACTGAAGTTTAAAATTTACACGCATTTTAATGCACATTCCCTGTGACTATTTATTAGATGTTAAATTAAATTGAAAAACTTCTTTTCACAATAATTTAATACTGATGAATTTGTCTGTGCCTTTGAATACTATATACTCGCCTCCAACTATTGCCGAGATCAAGAAAACGTGGGTCTATATATCCACTTCCCCCATACACCTTCATGGCATGGTGCCTCATTACTTGAGCACTTTACATTTTTTTTTTACCTTCAGATACTCTGTAAAGGACTGGCTACAGACAAGTAAATTTCATGGACATCTTAATGTATATGGATTATTCTTTTATGTTCAATTACATACAGAGTGATAAAAGAGCCTGCAAAATTATTTTATGTATTAATCATGCATTCTGAGTGAGAAGTCCTCTTGACATGGGTCCAGTTCAGTAAGTTTAACGAGACATTGCAGCTTGAAAGTAAATTAAGACGTACCAGATTTAAAGATTTTTAATGGAAAATTTCAAAATGACTCCAGTGTGTTATTTAATACTAAGACATGTTATGAAAGCTGTTTCAGGTGTCTGCATATAACTTGAGCGTGCATTTGTTCATGGGATATTTTTGAAGCAGTTGACAGCACTGTGCACGTGTGCATTGGGGTCACAGACTCGTTAAACCTTGTAGTATCATGTCTCATTATTAAAGAGCACTTCTTTCAGTTTACATTAAGTTATTGTGAAATGTTTCTTTAAAAACCCCATATTTCTGGTATGTCTTTATGTTCGTTTCAAGCTGTCATGGCCTGTCCTAAATTGCACATATATTAACAGGATTTCTTTTGTACCCAAAATTACTTTTATTAATGTGCCATGAAGTTTTGCAGACTCATGAATTAATCTGTATAGTGAAGAGTTAAATTTATTTAACAGACAGGCATTGTACATTGTTTGACACTTCACATATTTTATTGAGGTTAATGATATATATTTGAATAAAAATATTATCTTTTACAGTCTAAAATTTAAGGTTTCCAGGAACTTTTCTTATAGCAGTACATACTTTCTGAGCTGACCTGCAGCATAATTCTCTTTCCCGATAATTAAAAGAAAGTCCATATATGTACATATTCTTGCTTGGCACCAAGTTGTGTGAGCACCGCTACATACATTGTCAGTCTCACAGAGATCATGCAGTGGTAAGTATTATTAGGCTGGATTAAGCAAGTTCTATACAGCACTCACAGTTTTAACATGTTTCATATATGTATACAGTGAAACCACCATTTTATGTTTATTCTGGGGTTCAGTTGATTTGAACACTAAATTGATGGATGTCATATGTGGTGGAAATGTAACTCTGGGATCATTGAAATTAAATGTTGATAAGGGAAGACATTAAATTTTTCAACATTAAATGGGGATTTCACTCTATCAGCATCATCATCTAATCAATGATTAGCCTTGCTGGACCTTCTGACTCCAAAGTTAAAATCAACATTAGTCCTTCCCTCTTGTATGGGTTTACCTCTGCTGCTTTTTCTTTTGTGTATACCTATAAAATCTTTTATAAAATGTGTTCTCATCCATTCTCTTCAGTTGGAGGAACCTGTTCATCTGATAGTAAACTGTTCTGAATGTCAAATAGCTTTCACTACCTGGAAATAATATATGTTAATAATGGAATATAATATGTGTGTATAATTTTTTTTATGATTTCAGATGGCAGTATTCAGGTTTTCAGATTACCACAGTGCTTAAGTGGAATATTTTATAAATTATGCAAGACAAAGAAAAGTTAACAGCTCTGATGGGTGCAAGTTTTGAGATTATCATGTCCAGTCCATTAATATTAAGATTACAATCTTGTGGTATATGTACCTTGTACATATGTAGGTGTTAACTGCTGGTGCCTATGAGGCTGCATGATGCCACATTCCAGAAGATGCCAGTCTTTGAAATGGTTAAACGGTTTACTTTATTATAAAGCATATTGTGGAAACCCTAAGCCTCCATAAACGTTAACCTTTTGCAATTTACTGACAAGTAATATTCGACTCAGTAATGACATGATCACAGATTGAAGCGTACTATCTTCTGTGATGTGATACTGTGTAAACCAGATGAATTTATGTGACATTTCAGAGGAATGTACTACCTTCATCTTCACCAGAGCAGACCTTCTTGCTGGTTGCTTTGTTACCTCACCCTGAAGATGGAGGCAGTATGCTCCTCCAAAATGTTGGGTGCATTATATCCAAGAATACAGTACTGTTCACAGTCATCACTGTGTCAACCTCAATATGATCAGAGTGTTGTTTTAATAAATTACATACTTACATATAGTATTTATGTTAAAAGCTTTCATGAATGACATGAAACATGTTAAAGCTGCATGCCAAACTTGGCAGTGTTTTACATATCACTGTTTCAAGGAATATAGATGTTTGTAATGGAGGAACATTTTTCTGGGAAGGAAGATAGTGTTTTAGTATATTAGTGTCATGTAATTAATGACTATTTACATTAGTTAAGCTCAAGGGTAATTTGAATTGTTTCTCTAAAAAATATGATATTTTGATAGACTTCAAAATAAAATTAATATTATCATTTTGCCTCTAAACATTTCATCATCAAGGTTTTATAAAATAATAAAGAGTATTGGTATCACTGAGCAAACTTGTTGGCAAGCATGTATGATAATCTACACTGATGTTGACTTTGAGAAAGGGGCAGGGTCACTGTCCCAGGTCCCTGATATAAATTATCAGGAAACATGAATATATTATTTGATATTAAAGTTATGTTCACTGGATTTCCCTTATCATCACCAAGGTAATGTGTAATAATGCTTATCAGTCTTACAATTTAACAGTAACAGAGTATTACTAGAAGAACCATTTTTGCCGTTTCTAATGCATTTATCATACATGAATATTTTATGCTTCAGTCTAAGTCTTATAAGTATTGTTATCAGACCACAGAAAATATTTCTTTGATCTTTCTTTCTTTACATAAAATATTTCTTTGATCTTTCTTTCTTTACATATTTACCATGTTTTGAATAACAGTTTCTCTGATTATATCATGAATGTAGTTATTTAAATTTTGCTTTCATAGTGATGCTTTATGAGTCACTTTGGCATATCAAGCCTGAACACATAACATATCATCTTCAGAGGAATTAACCTTTGCATAAAACATCTTTGAGGATATGTCATATTGCAAGTAGGCAACCCTACAGAATGAAAGTCCTTTGTGTCCAATGAGATCTCTGTTATAGTGGTTTGGGTTCCCATTGTAATGATGCAAATAGAATCCAGTAACTTTCTGATGATGACATGACAGTCTCTGTCATTATATGATGATGATATGCCCTCAGAGATGTTTTAGACACAGTAGCAGTGGTTAGCCTAATTGACTAGATTCTTATGTGATTAGGACACTCTTAATTGAGGAATATTATTCTTTCTGCACATGCATATTTAACCAAGACATCTTTCAGTATCATATTTGAAGTATTGCATACCTATCTCTGCCTGCTTCTTTATTTTCTTCAGCTTACAGAACTGTTCAGTATAACACTAAAATGGACTGAGGAGTGGATTATGAAAGTGTTCTGTTTTCTTAATGTAACATTAGATGCTGATTTCCCAGAAATTATCCCATCCATAGTGGATTTTCTTGTATCCAAACGCCTCAAGCCCAATTATATAAATAATGTATTTTTTGTATGAACTAGGCTATGATCTGAATGACTGGAGTTGGATTCTCAGCAGGGGCAAGAAACTTTCCTTTCGCCATTGCATGCAGACCTTCACCAGAGGTAGCTGTATACATTGAGTATTGGGGATGTTTCCATGGGGAGACAGTGGTCAGGGCATGGATAACTTTACCTGAATTTTCCTTCCCAGTATTTAAACTATAATTTTAATTTACTGAGTTTTAATGTACTCATAATTAATAAGAAGATATATGGGTATAAAAATTCAGTTCCTCATTTTAAAGCTGTTAAAATGTGCAATTTTAACATGTTTGCCTATAATTTTAACTTGTTATCTTAATAAACCCACTCATATGAAGAGGTTACAGATTTATCATGACTTTATTCACCAAAATAGCATTTCAAATGAAATTTGAAGATTTTAACCCTATGAAGGATTGTGGGTATGATATGTATCACTGACTTCAATGTACAAAACACCATGTTTTGCTCACACAGTGTACACATTTCATATAATTCTCATAATAAACAACGATCATTTTCCTGAAGAGTATTAACCGGTTAGTTTTGTAACAGAGATAGCATTCCCTGTGAGGTAGGAACTGAATTTTTAAATATAATTTAGTCAACTTCAAGCAGGATTAAACAAAGAAGCAGGCAATTTTATGTACATATTTTATGGAATGTAACTTATAAATGTTAAAACCATCATTAAATATACATATCACAGTCCTAATATGTCACTTTGATTTTATAACAGTTATAGAGCTCTCTGATTGCTACCGCTGTCATACTATGCAAGAATTGTGACATTCTGTATACATACATATTGACCTATACATCAGCCCATTCTAGCTAACTACAATGTTTTGGCCATCATACTTATTTCTGTCACCACATTCATACATGTTGGCGCTAAGCTTTATGTAAATCTGATTGGATGGAGAAAAGCTTCAGCTTCCGTATTTCTGAAGGCCAGCCAATCACATGGAGTGCCCATGACTTGTAGCCTCGACTTATGTTGCTCTCACTGTTAATTCTTCATTACTTAATGTTGCTCCTTTCTTCCTGAGCCCCTTGTAGTATATTGGCTTGTTCTGTCTTGGCAGCTGACCCACTCATGTCTTTCACTTGCCTTTCCTTCGTTGTTGCATTCTCCACCTGATTAATAATTTGTATTTTTTGTTAATACAATTGATTATATATTTTGCTGATATATTTAACTAGTGACATGTATTTTAGCAGTAACAGTGTACCCCTGTGTTACACATGTTAGGATTATAGAATTTAATCCTTCAGAAATTATAAGAAATTACCATAAAATTCTTGATACCGACCATAAATTCGCCATTACAGAAATTTATGATAAACTTTAAAACTGTTTAAATACAAATGCAAAACAACGTGTTCAACTAAAACATTTTTAGAAATTATGTTGAAAGTTTCAAGTCATACATGCATATTTATGATCATTGTAATAGCCTTTTCAAATTTTTATTGCACAGTTGTTGAAGTTGAAGAAGCAGGAGCAGAGAGGGAGGTGATGATGAAAAAGAAGGTTAAGAAGAATAAGATCAAGGGAGAGGTGGAAAAAAATTATCAGCAGCAGTAATAGTAATAGTAGTAGCAACATAACAGTAATAGAATAGTAACAGTAGCAGTTGCAGTAGAAGTAATGGTAAAAAAGTAAGTAAAGCTGTCCCTGTAACAGGCCATGAAGGCCCATAGGGTTGTGAGATGTTGAGTAGAAGTATGAATAATGTAGGAGATTTAGAAGAGGAATGGAAATGATCATAAGGAAGAGAAGAACTGTAAAATGATGAAAGGGGGAGGTCACAGCTTAAGAATGAGAAGGATGGAGGAGGAGGAGGATGATAAAGTAGAAGGAGAAAATAAGTAAATAACTGGGGTCTGATAGGACTAACCTGCTTTGCACTCACATCTGTTGCATTTACCTTCTCACTGCAAGTTTCTTCTTTGGTAGTTTTGGTTCCTCCTGGATTCTTGAGTATACTTGGACCGGGCTTCTGCTGCAGCAGCGTCTGAGGCTCCTGAGGCATATGCAGATTGTAGCCCCGGCCAGAGGCCCATTCTCAGAGTCTGTTGTCTTCCAGTGAGTCAGAGTCAGCATGGCTCTCTTGAATCACAGGGAGCCCGTTCACCAGCACGATTGTGTTGCGGACACTTTCGTATGACGTTAGGGGATTCATATTTCGACGGTTTGCAGGCCCCCAACCAGATTTTGGTTGGCACAGGAATCGAACTCTCTGAAAAAATGCATTTTGGATATATTGCGGAACTGAAAAGATTTTCAACTGGTGTCCTCTTCAGAAAATATCCTACAATTGTACTGACTGTGAGTCAAATGTGACCTCCCTGTATAGCCTGTAGTTATCTTCCCTCCTTCCCTTATAACATTAAATTGAATTTTCAACACCAAAAGAATTTGCAGTTGGTGACCTTTACTTGAAATCCATCTAAAACCATAAAGAATAGGGTATTTCTTGACTAGTTTGGTGACTGGTAGGTTCTCAGGAAGGAATTTGCTCCATAAGTTTGGTGTGGTAACCTACAGTGCAGAACCTAACCTCACATTCCTCAAACAGCCAACATTGTCCTGTGTGAGGTAAGAGGTTCATGCATCGTTGGCTCTGATGTGTATTATCTTCTTGGATGTGAAGTCATGATTTAATTGTTTAATAATATTTTTGAGGAAGGTAAAACCTCCATCTTCAGAGTTCTACCTTGATGGTATGTAGACATTGTTAGTAGCTATGGGTTGGACTGCCAGGTAACAGAGGATACCTATGCTTTGGCCAGCATTGCAGTTTTGGAATTTTCACCTTACTGAAGTTTGATTTTAACAATTTCCTATTGACATTTAAATGGACTTGCTGCTAGTTATGTTATGAATGAAGACTCAGATATTTTGAAATAATTCTTTGTTTTAAATCAGTCTTGTGCAGAATGTTTATAGAATTATATACTAATTTTATCTTAGAGAAACTGAATAATATGTTGACATACCTCACTAAGTGTACCTTCTGGTGCTGTTGAAAGTTTACAGGCACCCATAATAATGATGATACAAACAGGGAAGACACCAATCACCCAACCAACAGCATCAGCCCAAATGGGATACTCATAGTCTCCATATTTTACAGGTGCATATTCAACCCAATTGAAGAAGAGGATGAACTGAAAAATGAAAGTTATTGTTACTGTCAGAATTCAAACTTTCAGATGTGTTATATACATTACTATAATTATACTGGCTTCTGTTGTCCTCTGGTATTGTTCCAGTGTCACAAGGATCATCAGTGTCATATTTGTGTTCATGGTATAAGGTGCCATGCTTGTCCATTGAGTTGTGCTCACAGTTTTTCTGACATGCCCCGCCATTTCTTAATCAGTCGTGTCATTTTCTTTTTCCTTCTCTTACTTACTCATGGAGCTGAGCCCTTCTTGAGGAGCCACAAATTCTGCAGCTACTCAAGAACTTCCCAGCATTTTATGGAACCCAAATGTTCATTACCGTGTTTACAAGATCCATTTTAATATTGTCCACCCACATATGCCTTAGTCTTCCCAGTAATCTCTTTATGTATTCCTTCTCTACCCAGCTTAATGTTCGCTCTGTGTGTTTCCCAGTTAACATGTTTCTGAGAAATGCAGTGATTTTAAGGAATGAACCCACTGCATATAACAAGATTAACTTTTATGAATAACTAACTTCATGGAGCTGAGCCCTTCTGGAGAAGCTGCTAATTGTTCAGCTACTCAAGAACTCAACATTTTATGGAACCCAGAGGTTCATTACAGTGTTGAGCCCCACACCAGTCCCTATCCTGAGCCAGATTGATCCAGTCCATACTACCCCAGCCTATCTCTCTAAGATCCATTGTAACATTGTCCACCCACCTATGTCTTGGTCTTCCTAGTGGTATCTACCCTTCTTGCTTTGCTACCAATATCCTATATGCATTCATCTTCTCCCCTCATTCATGCTACATGCCTTCCCCATCTCATCCTTCTTGTCTTGGTCATTCTAATTATACTTGGTGAAGAGTGCAAATTATGAAGCTCCTCATTATACAGTTGTCTCCAGTATCCCATCACTTCATCTCTCTTCATTCCAAATATACTCCTCTGCGCCCTGTTCTCAAATGCTCTCAGTCTATGTTCCTATGAGACCAAGTTTCGCACCCATACTGAATCCCAGGCAAAATTATACTTTTGTATATTCTAATTTTTATGTTTTTGAACAGCAGACGAGAAGACAAAAGGTTCTGGACTGATTGGTAGCAAGCATTACCTGAATTCAATCTTCTTTTAATTTTCTCATGAATCAAGTTTTGATTTGTTATTGCTATTCCCAAATATCTGAACTGTGCCACATTTTCAAAACATCTGTCAGCTATCTTTATGCCATGATTTTGCCCTGCCTTCTGGTGATGAAACAGCAACAAATACTTAGAAGTTGTATGAATATGAGATAGAAGTGATGGTAAAACCTGAGTTTCTCATATTATTAAGTGTGAAGAATAGTCTTTGGATGTGGCACCATAGAGTTTGTAGAAGTTGCTGTCTCCAGGGCATATATATGTGAAATCAAAGTAATATGTTCCCTTGAAGTGTTGGTACATGTTTACTGAAGTACATGCTTCACAACCCTAAGACTATGATCTTAGTGACTTAAGTAACATCACAATTAGTCTTTGTTGTCTGTTTAATGAATTATTCTTTGCAGTTTTTTAAATATAGGAACTTAGTTCCTCTACTTTGTAACCAGCCAAGTGCCAGGTCAGAGATGGAGTTCCCAACCTCAAAACCAAAGATGTGATAATGTGCTGCCTGGTCACACCTCAGGGAGTGGTGATAGATTATTGTGGAGCAGTGATGGAATGAGGATAATGAAGGAAAATTTGAAGAAATTCAGAGAAGAATGTGCTCCAGTTCTAATTTGTCTGCCATGAATGTGACATGAAGTAACCCAGAATCAAACTAATGTGTGTCATGATAACCCAGCCTGAGTTGTGGCATATTATTTTATAACAATTTAGATATTTTCATGTTATGATCTTCACGGTTTTGACACCAAGTAGTCTGGTAGATACGTACCAATTTTGGAGACAAACATGTTACCTTCAGCTTCAGGGTAGAACTGACCAAAGTTCTACCTTGGAGATGGAGGCATGAGGTTCCTCCGAAACGGTAACCATCTATCAGACTGTATGGTGTCATAAACCAGGAAGCCACACTCAGAATTACTGGGGTTTCAGACTTTGTCCGTCATCTGGTATTCATCTGAGTGTGGAGACATCTACTCTGTTTGGTCCCTTAGAAAGAGCTGACCTCAGTCACTAAGGGACCCCCCTCACCTGAGGATGGAAACAGATCCAGTTTCCAAAACACTGTTTTTTCTAGTTTTCAGAATACTGGACAATGGACAAAGTCTGAAACCTCAGTAATTCTGAGTTTTATACATCATCCTCAGAACCCTTTAGAATCTGCAGAAGGCTTCAGTCTTAATATTCACTGCTATCCTATCTTATAATCCCATAAAGTATAAGTTATTTTGAAATATGAATAAACAAAATGGGCTGAAACACCATGTAGTTCAGACAGAGCCCAACATTTCAGAGGAGCACTGGGCTCTGTCGGAACTACATTCCATTACAACCCAACACACTGTTCATAGTCTCTGTTGTGAGAACCTTAAATTCAACAGAATATCAAAGTTTTCACAGATGTACCAAAAGAGCTGCAGGAGTAATGAGTTTCCACATCCATGTCCAAAAGAACATCCACATCCATGACTTCTGACCAATCATATCTTGGATGTCCCTAAGGAACCGGTTTGCACCGTACACCCATGAAATGAGAATGCATTCTGCAATTGCAATCAGTAGAACTGACCAGTTGGCAGCGTACTTGTCCACCAGCTGAAGCCAGTACATTCCACTCTGAAACAGATGAAGAGAAAAAGGAGAGTTAAAAGAATTGCTGCTCAAATTTCTGTGCATTATATGTATTTGTATTGTATTTATTGTAAGTTCAAGAGATCCCAAAGATGGATATAGAACATTTCATAAAATAATATAGAGCATGGAATACATACATAGTTATTATACAATTAGACAGTACAATGAATACAACAATAATAAAAGTTATTATTTAGATATTTATCCGCAGTATAAAATGTATGAGTATTCAAGAATTGTCTTAATACAACCTTAAACTTTTCAGAATTATTAGATGTATTCTTGATTTCTATGGGCAATTTATTAAATATTTTTATACCCACATAATAAACTCCCTTTTGATAAATAGTTAAATTAGCTTGAGGTAGATACAAATCTTGTCTTTGTATAGTGTCTGTAGTATGAGAATCAATGTTTGATGCAAAAAGAACTTTATTTTGCAATACAAATACTTACTTACTCATGGAGCTGAATCCTTCTGGAGGAGCCGCCAATTTTGCAGCTACTCAAGAATTTCTCAGCATTTTATGGAACCCGAAGGTTCATTACCGTGTTCACAAGAGCCCTCCACTAGTCCCTATCCTGAGCCAGATCTATCCAATCCATACTATCCCATCCTATCTCTCTAAGATACATTCTAATATTAATTGATATTAATCTAATATTAAAGTTTATCAACCGCCGAAGACAGTTCTCAAGGCAGCAGCCTACGAGTTGAATTAAATTGCGGTAGTCACCGAGTTTAGTTGTAAGGAGTGAATCGTGATAGTGTGAAGAGATTTGGGTGTAGGGTTTGTAAAGTGTGGAAACCCGAAACATTGTTATAATTAATTGTAGCCGATACTTGTAGGTTGTTAAATAAACCAATTAACAATCTGAACGGCGTCTTCAGTAACGAAACACGTTACAGTATTCTTTTTATATTTTAAGAAATTAACATTTATTAAGAAATTCAGACAACTTTTATGTGAGCTATTTCAGCCATTATACTTCATTCAGCTGTATAGGGCAATCTTCAGAGGCTTAAGTCCCTTTGTAAGTGAAAGTGTATCTCAATTATAAATTGAGATTATAGTTAATAAAGGAAAGTGAATCTGTCAGCGGGATGCCTGTTGTAACTCATATGGAGGCTACTTTTGCAGCCTCTACCTCTTCTTCTAGAAGAATCCACAAGTGTGTTTCATTTGAAGAAGCCACATACAGATTTCTGAAGGAATACAAATTTTCAAGAACATATCCCTTCCACAGCATGAAAATAATTGTAGTTTCCATGAAACAACAGATTTACTTCTGAAGAAAAGGCCCCCTTGGCATTCCAGCCATCTGTATATAAATATTACGTTAGAATGATAGATTATTGCAATTGTATATTTTTATCTGATGCTGTGCTTGGATGAACTAAGCAGTGGATGCTATCTGTGGGAGGTAAAGTGGGGAAAGTATACTACTTAGAGTTTCCACTGTGGCGGCCCAGGTTCGATCCCGGGGTCTGGTCAAGTGGGATTTGTGGTGGACAAAGTGGCACTGGGGCAGGTTCTCTCCGAGTACTTCGGTTTCCCTTGCCAATCTTCATTCCACCAATTGCTCCACAATCACCCTCACATATCATCTGGGGTTGGTACAATAGGCCAGAAGTGGCCGCAGTACAAGGGACTTAGTCCCACCCCACTAGCAATAAAAAAAGGTACTACTTACTGTATGCCCACAGAGTGACAAGAGTAAGGGACTGTGTCCACTTACATCTTTATTCTGAGAGCCAGTATGAATAACCCAGCACTTCACTAAACGCATAGTAAGAAAGTTAAATCAGATTAAGGCTGATAGATATCAGGAGGTTCACAGTGAAAAAGGTTTTAACTCTAGCAATGAAGGCTATTTGAAGGGCCCTAATGACATCAGTGGCACACAATGGGTGCAATAGTGGTCTGATCACTTGGGGAAACTGGAATTCAACCCTCTTAATTCAATACAGAATATAGAAGAACGTTCACATTACTTACATTTGTGGTGAAGATAAGTCCTCCAAAGTAGCCAAACATGGCTACAATGAGGACAACCCATATCTTGTAGTCCCGGAGACTAGGGAACCGGTCCAGTATAGCAGTGGTCACAGTTTCCATGAGAGCAAACTGGGAGTCAAGCCCAAGAGTGAGTAGCATCACAAAGAAGAGAAGTGACCACAGTGGTGAGATCGGTAATCGAGTTACCACTTCTGGGTATACAATAAAAGCAAGACCTGCCCCTTGATCCACCACTTTCTTCACTTCCACTTGTAGCTCATGGGCCAGGAAACCAATCACAGAGAAAATCACAAGTCCGGCAAAGAATGAGGTCAAAATGTTGGATATCGCAACAATCAGGGAATCTCTGTTGAGGGAAGAAGAACAAGCATAATAATTCATTATTAACAATCTGAAATGTCTCTGAGGGTGTCATACCTTGAACAGGCAACCTTACAAAAAGAAGGCCTATATTGTCAATGCGATCTCTGGGATGTGCTATTTTGGTTTCAATTGTATGTCGAAAGTAGGATTTAATAAGTTTCTGATAACAGTGTAAAGGTCTACATCACTGTCTGATGTTAACACACTGTCATATCTGTTATAAGTCACTTACACTAGGAATTTGTGGTGTATGAAGATTACTGGCTTCTGGGATGTGACACAGTATAGTTTGGTAAATGGGTACCAATGTTTTAGATAAATCTGTTGTTGAGGGCAGAAGCTGGTGATGGCAGATTCTTCTAAAACATTGGCATTTAACGGCCAGGCTCCTTCACAGAAGACAGTAATTAGCAAATACACAGATTTGGCAAATTTAAAGTATGATTTTGTATGAGTAATATACCAAAAGAAGACAACAGCTGTATGATGGAGTGTAGAAGTTGTTAAATAAGCATTTTCTCAGCAGCATAAAGGATGTAGCAAACAACATAGTCCAGCAGTTATCATTCTAGATCTGTATTCATAAGGTCCCAATTTCAAATCTCAGTTTAGATACCGGCTATTATCATTAAGAACTTTCATCATTTCCCTTTGTTTCTCTAGGCAGATGCTGGGATAATACTTCAGAGTAGGCCATGACCATTTCCTGCCACATCCTTTCTATTTAATTGTTCTTTAATCTATGTACAATGTTAAAACTATGTAATCTTATGAGCATCATTAAGTTAATAATAAATATGTAAGAAACAGATAGGCTGTCAAGATTACAGCTTTGGGGAAGTGATACCATGTAGTTAGGTAAGTGGATACCAATGTTTCAGAGGAGCCTGCTGCCTGCATCTTCAGGCATCACATTACAGAACACCTAATCTTGATACTATCATAGAACCTCAAATCTCATACACAAAGAATATGTTTGGATAATTAGAACTTCTGAATTTGCCTTCTTTTGGTTTGGTTGAAATGGTTCCATTTGTGAAGAAAATCATATCTAGTTATAGCAAGCACTATTAATGGCAACAGATAGAGTTTTGGGGCAAATCATTTATGCTTACTGTGGTACTTACTGGTAACAGTTGTTTGTGAACTTATTATAGGAAGCCAAAGTAATTAGCCCTCCCCAAGCTGGGCTTAGAGCAAAGAAGATCTGAACAGCTGCATCTCCCCATACCTGAAATTATAAATGTGATAACAGTCTTAATGAAACTCTGTTCCTTCTGAGACTGATTACCTCACTTTGTACAGTTCAGGCTGAAAGCTGAAATATCCCAAGTCTTAAGATGAATGAGCACTAGACCATGGTAATTTATGTCCTGATAATAACTGTCTTCTGGGATGTCGTGCTGCCTAGTCTAGTAGACTATTACCAGCATTTTCGAGGAGCTTACTGCTTCCATTGTCAGGGCAGTGGGGTCCTCTAAAACGTTTATAACAATCTACAGGTTTCATGGGATCACATTCCAGTCACTGCCATGAGAAATCAAAATCTCACATTTTTATGCTCTTTTGAGCTGGGAAACTTCAATGTGCTATAAGCTGGACACAACGAGGAGTCAGGATTTGACTCCCAGCATAGGCAAGAGAGCCTTCTCTTCTTTCCAGAGGCTAGACCCACTTCGGGGCCTACCCAGCCACCTATCCAATATATGCAGGGGGCTCTTTCCCTGTCAGTAATGTAGCTGGGGTGTGCTCAGGTTGAGGATGAATGAAGCTCTACCTTCATTCCTCCATATGTCTTCATGGCGTGGTGCTTGGTTAATCACAGGAATAATCTTACCTATTTAACCAATTTTCTTGATAAAATAAATGGAGGCTTATGATATCATCTGTGTGTCCCCTTAATGTTGCTAAGCAACAGCATGGTAGATACATTCCAGTTGCAATAAATACAGGCGCAACAATAGAAAAAATGTTGGACACGGCATTTTCTGTGCAGTCCGTGTCATATCAAATACTCAATATATATATGTTACCATAAGCAGACAATAAGCTCTTTCCACAACTTCATGTTACCATGCTGAAACATGTTCTTAATAAAACTTTCCATCTCTAACATAATAAAAGGTAGTGAAATTAAATATCCTCTCCTGTAACAGGTTAAAAGATTTATATTGTGATCTTCTGGGTTATAAGTCAGGTAGATGGTTACAAACGTTTCGGAGGAACATCCTGCCTCCATTTTCAGGAAATCTGTTATTGATTATATATAACAGATTATAGATAATTGAATGTTTCTCCACATGCAATTGTATATGGGAAATGAAATATTTTTGCATAGTGAATATTGTCCATCAGTAAGGGGTAAAGGGACAGAAGACAGCCATGGTAGTATGCATACAATATTCTAACTGTAATATATATTTTCTGTAGAATCATCTAAAATATTTGAAAATTGCAGCTTTCTGGAATGTGATCCCCAGATTGGTAGCAATGGTTTGCAGGAAACTGCAGTCTTGTTCTTAAAGTGTCACAACCTTCAAGACCGTGATCTTCATGCTTACCGACTTGGTACTCTCAAATCATTTCAAAATTATCCGTTTACGAGATTCAGAATAATGTTACAAAGAAGGAAACTCTGGATGTTGCATTTAAACTTCATGAAGATAATGTATGTCCACTATTATACAATTGAGAGATATATTTCCACCACTTTTGCATAACATTTATAATCCTCGCCTGTTACCATGGTAACACGATACCTGGGCGTTGGCAAGCCGTTGCCAGTCTGGAGTGAGGTAGAAGAGGATGCCTGTGGATGCCCCTGGAAGACTCACGCCCCGCACGAACAGTATCACCAAAACAACATAAGGAAACAGAGCTGTGAAGTACACAACCTGAAACACGTGTTTTACACGAAGCTTACTTAGTTCTGAATGAAACGCAAGAATGATTTTGAACTATGCGAACATATGCCTAGTATCTTTTGTGTTTTTGTCTAGAAGTAAACACAAAGCTAAATATATGTGAAGATCTTGTCGCTAGAATTCAGAACAAAATCATAACACAACGATAATTAACAGATCTTTTAAAAATGTGGGAAAGTTAAAAGATATTCCATAATGGCACTAAGTAAAAAAGAAAAGCTATCCCTGTAACAGGCCGTGAAGGCCCATAGGGTTGTGAGACGTTGAGGGTCCCACATTATCTAGACAATCGGCTCAAAGATGGCGGTAAGGTTGTCAGCCTTACGCGCCAGCCGCGCTTTACTCCCCAGGAAAATTATTTAATTAATTCCTGGTACTCATTTCTGTTAGAGGCTGAGTAGACCTCAGGACCATAGTGCGGCTGGAAGGATTAGGTCAACTGAAAAAAGAATCCAATTACCTTATCGGGACTTGAACCCTCGACCTTCCGGCTTGTAGCATAGTGCCTCAACGAACTATCTAAATTAAATTGGTTAAGAAATTAAAGATCAGATTAAATTCTGGCGAATGCTTACTGCTATTAAGTTAAGAATCTTCTGGTTTCCTGTCTACGATCTAGAAACATAAAGATCGAAATATACAAAACTCATCATAGACCAGGTTAGAACTCTCCCTCGTCTACAACCATTACCCCCTTCGCAGCTCACTCTTTTACTTCGAAAAGGGCGGAATTAGGCTTTTTGAAACGTTAGTGTCTTCCAAATCACGTGATGTCACATCAGTGTAATAATGCGCGGAGGCCCATAGGGTTGTGAGACGTCTAGGCTCCTACATTTTCTAGTCACTCTGCTCATAGATGGCGGTGAGGTTCAGAGAATCGCAATATTGATAATAACCTCGCAAGAACCTCAAATTACTACACTTACCTTTCCCGATGATTGTACCCCCTTAGAGAGGCACAGAAACACAATTATCCACGCTAACAGAAGACACAGCGCCATGGACAGTCGGATTTCTCCCGTCTCTTCAATCCCAGCTGACAGACCCAGGACCCTTCTCCTGTGGGATAAAGGGGAATGATGCCCAAGTATTTTTCACATCCACATTTAGAGTGTACTCATGTGATTTCATTAGAAAAGTATTGTAAAATTATAAATAATACAGTGTGTTCCGTTCAAACCTCCAACATTTTAATTAATCATTGCGAACAAATTGTGATAAGTTGTGGATTATAATTTTATTTCCGTTTTGTTTTTCGGTGAAGCTACAGTATCTGACCGCGTATACCTTGACATGTTAGAACAGTTCCTGCATCCCCAGGTAGCCGATCTGCAGCCTAACATAATCTTCCAACAAGATGGAGCCCCCCCCCCACATTGGGGTCTGGATGTTCGGAGGTCCCTCAATGCCACCTTCCAAGATCTCTGCATTGGACGTGGCGGATCAAACGGTGGCCACCACTTTCACCGGACTTCTCTCCACTCGAGTTCTTCCTCTGGGGTTACGTGAAGGTCCGTGTGTTCGTGCCTCCCAGATTTACGAGCCCACATCCGTGAAACGATTGCTACTGTACCAATGGACATGTTGGAAAGAACGTGGCAGGAAATTGAATAAAGATTGGATATTGTTTGTGCTACCAATGGTGCACATGTAGAGGTTTATTAGCGTTTCAAATACCATTTTTTAGAGGTTCTTGTATTTCCTGTAGCTCCATTTTCCTACCATTCATACTTTCTATTCTAAGATCTGATAATAGGTGGGAGGTTTGAATGGAACGCCCTACTCTTAACCCGCAGGAATTACAGGCCTTAACGAAATAACAGAAAATTTAAAATTTGAAGGGTCAGTCTCGAAGGCGAAAATTCTTGTCGTGCTCGTAGACAGATAGTGTGCTATGTTGCCACTTATAAATGTTGCTTCTGGTACATGTTTCGACTTTATAAGGTCATCATTAGGTAGATATTTTTACGCAATTGTTGCACTGCGTTCATTTTACTAGTTAATCGTTAAAAGAACAAACAAAAACAAACTCCGTGGCCTGTAGTCCGCAAGCGAACTATACCGACCGAGCGACCGCCGCTTGTCGGCGAAGTAAGTGCCAACTTTAGCAGATACATGGTGTGACGTGGTCAGCGCAACGAATCCCCACGGCCGTTAATTTCGGTTTTCTAGACCGGAATCATTTTAAAAACTTGCTTAAAATTATTCATTTTTCAATTGACTGATTGATTGATCAAATTTATTCCATTTTCAGTTCATTTGATGATTTATGAATTGAGAAATGAGTAAGTTCTAACTAATTTCAACAGTGGCAGCTGTGGGTTCGTGCTTTGCAAGTGTGGCGTACTCACGAGAAGTATTCCTCGGCTGGAGGTCTCCTCATTTCCTGGTCTGCTTGCTGTGTGATGTTCTTCAGGGCAGCCTCTGTTGCCTGGTAACACTGTCGGCGGTAGTACGTCCCGTTCTTGGCCGCACACTCATCAGCTTCTTCGTACGAATAACAGTCTGAAAATGGTGCATTTATTAGACTTGACTCTGAAGATGGAAGTAGTACACGTTGCTTAGAAATGTCATTGAATTTCTATGGAACAAGACGGCGTCGCATCCCAGAATTCATTACTCTTCATAGCCCATTTGTGTTTACAGTTCCTTATATTATTTCTAAGTCTTTAACTGAAAATCTTTTATTCAATGCACTAACTGAAATTGTGCCGGTCACGGTAGCCGAGCGGTCTAAGGCATGCACTGTCTTCGCTCGCTCGGAAACCGGGATCGTGGGTTCGAATGTTTCCTGTGAGGTACGAACTGAATTCTTATATATTATTCTTATACATTGCCGG